CGTGTCAGAATAAAGAAAAAAAAAAGACACAGCGGGGTTTTTTCTTCTTGGCGGCCAAGAGCGGGGGGCTCCCAGAGCGCCCGGGAGATTTTTTTAATTATTTTAATTTTTTTTTGTTACAGCAGCAGAGCCGCCGGACAATAGGAAACTATTGGGCGGAGCTAGCTGTCACTGCTAGCTCCGCACAATCGTTTTCTATTAACTTTTTCTACTTTTTTCACTCTTTTTCTGTTCTGCTCGGTGCCTCTGAGGGACCGAGCAGAACAGCCAAGCCAAATGCCGCTCGGCGGCATTCGGCTATTCTCTCACTGCTGTTCGGCATCTTTCAGAATAGCCCGAACAGCAGTGTGAAGCCTGCCGGAGGTTCGGCTCAGCCGATCCAGATGTTGGATCGGCTGAGTCGCACTCCTTCTGCACTTCGGATCAGCCGAACATGCTGAGCAAGTTCGGCTGTTTCGAAGCCACACGAAGCAAGCCGATGTACGGCTGATTTCAGCCGATATACGGCTGAAATTAGCCGTACCAGCCTGAAGTGAATAGCCGAACAGTGTTCGGCTCACTTCACTTCTGATCGGTCATTCACTCGGCTGCCCTCGGCAGCTTTGTGAATAGACCCCTTAGAGAGCAAAAGTGTAAAGTACGTTTTCAAGATATTTTTTTAAAGTAGTAGACTGACAACAAACAAAGGCATTGACTGAAGGAGCGCTATAGTGAGGAGAGACCAATAAACAGGGAAAGGCCGGACAGTCATGGCTAAATGATAAATTTTAGGTTCAAGGGAAAGAGTAAGTGGGAAGTTGGCTCAAATGTCCTGTCCTATGTACTATGTGAAAGTATAGTGGATGCGCAGTAATACTTTGTTACATGTCACTTACAGGGTTATTCACAAGGGTGAAGAGGAGTTTGGAGAAGTGAGCAATCTAGGACAGCATAGCTGATAAGGAAAAAGTCTCCAATTCAGCTCACTTTCCAGTTCAGCTATGTTGTCCTAGATTGGTCACTTCTCCTGACTTCTCCAAACTCTTCACCCTTTTGTGAATAACTTTGTTATTTTTTTTAACTATGTAATGTATAGAGTTAAATTTAGGAAAATACAATTTTTGGTTATAGAGAACCTAAGCATATGAAAATGTAACCCTTGCAGTGGGGCCATCCCTGCATTGCAAGGATGACATGCTCTTTTCTCCTGCTTATCTCTCTAACCCCTCCTCTCTGGCAGTGGTATGTCCCTCAACATCCTTACGTCAAATACACTGTATTAGACGTGATGGCTCACGCATCCTTAAACTGACGAAGCCCGGGGGGAAAAAAAAGGGGCTGCGGGGACTGGTCTGGCAGCCAGGCAGGATCGGGGATTTTACTTTAGACTCTAGGGAAAAATTCTAGGCACTTAACCCTTGCAGTGCAGGGATAGCCCTGCAGGGCTAATATTTCATATGCCTGGAGTTCTTCTTTAAATAGATTGTAGTGCAAGCTTTGGAGGCACACTGGTCTCTTCTTCTGGCAATATCGCCTCATATTACCTAAAGAAGTGGCCAGTGTGCCTCAAAAGCTTGCAATGTAGTCTGTACCCATGCAAAGAAATCGTACAGAAAAAGAAATTGTGAAGAAAAAGATTTTGAATGTTTTTTTTTATAGTAGGTGATTGCAGTTTTGTCATAAAAAGATAGAAGATAAAATGTATGCACAAAATGATATACGTAGATTACTCATCCTGCATTGGTTCAGGTGTAGGTACCATTTTGGTCTGTGGTCATTTTCAATCTCATGGAAATAAAATACCCAGAGCTGGCAAATGAGCAGCACATAATGGAGGGAAGCTGTACCCCATGCAGAGACTGACAGGAGACAATCAAAGCAATAACTGAAGCTCCAACAGTGCTTAGCATCAGCAGGGAGTGTGTTCTAGTTAGCAGCCTTTGCATTGCTTATACTGTGACATGTTTCTGTGTCTTCCCTGTGACAGAGAACCGATAGATTTGTTGAGCCATTTCAGAAATGTCAGGAGTTTTATGCTCCCAAGGAGTGGGGGTTGTTAATTCCATACTATGTATAATGGAGTAGTAAAAATTATTATTGCATACAGAAATGCACTTATTTCTTGAGCAGAACCTAATTTGGAAGGATGGTGGATAGTATAGTCTTGTTTAATTGCTATGTTAAATAGTGTGTGCGAAGTGCGCATTATTCCTTGAAATTAGTTTCTAAACAAAGGAGGTAATTTGGTCTGGTGACCCCTTTTTCTGTAAACTCTGTGTTATGTTTATCCACGTGTAAATCCGTGTTATGTATATCCGCATTTGCCATACATTTTTATAGGTTTCACACATTTTAAAAAGAAAAACAAGATGCACGTGAAGCATTCGCAGTCTTAAAGTGACACTAAACTCAGGAGTCAAGCCATAAAAATGCATTCATGTACCTTAACTATTAACAAAAATGTATCTTATTTGTGTATCACTCATCTCTGAATTCATACTGTCCTTTCTTCTGGAGGGTGGTTTCTTTTGTTCCTCATGGTCCCTGTGTGTGTTGTAAAGTAGCCACCGCTCCAAGCTCACTTCTGTGATGGACTACAATCTGACATTTAGTTTACTAATTTGTATTGAGATTGTAGTCCATCACAGAAGTGAGCTTGGAGCGGTGGCTACTTTACAACACACACAGGGACCATGAGGAACAAAAGAAACCACCCTCCAGAAGGAAGGACAGTGTCGGCACCAATTCAGAGATGATTTGATGATCTACAGCTGAGTGATACACAAATAAGATAATTTTTTCTTAATAGTAAAGGTAAGGTTTAACTCCTGAGTTGAGTGTCATTTAAAAAAAAATATATATATATTGTTTTCAAGCAAAGTCCTGCAAATCACGGAGAGACCAATGATATCTTTTTTGTAAGAAAGAGGAAATCATATTTACTTACACCCGGAAAATTAAAATCCAATTACACCAGTGAATGACAACCTTGAAGCTCTAACATTTGGCCGAGGGACCAAACATGTCATTCTTCTTTTTTTACACCAAACTTGAGACCAAAACCTTTATTGTAATATATTAGGATTAGACAGGATTAAAATGATGACTGGCACATGTCTGATGCAATGTACAATTTTCAGTTATCCCAAGCCCTAGTCAGAAGTTGCATTGGACTATCTTAGTTCTAATGTTTATGGCTGTAGATTGTATACCACCTTTATATAAACCTGACCACAGATGGTGTTTCGTCTTTTCAAAAATAACACATTTTGCTGTTTTATGAATTAAAGGAATATTTCAAAGAAAACAAAGCATTTCTCCAGTAGTGGTAACCATTTCATGAGTTGATAAATTATTGAGGTTAAATTGCGGCCTACCTCCCAACTTTCTGAGATGAAAAAGAGCAAAAAAAGGATGTATGCAAAGTAGGGATGTTCAGATACCAAGCACCGTACTTGGTGCAAGTACAAGTACAAGTACAGATACTTTTCCAGCTCCAAGACTAGACTAGAGAAAAACTCAAAAGTTGGGAGGCAGCTGTCATTTGTAAGGAGCACACTGAGCTCCTTGGGATTTGTACATCTCTGTTTTAATGTATGATTTGTTATTTATATACAGTGTGCAGTGGCGTAACAATCACCATAGCGACCCAGGCGGTCGCTACGGGGCCCGGGGCACAGTGTTGCCCGGCCAGATGCTGTGCGGGCCGCCTGGGTCGCTATGGGATCTTCTGCTGCTGGCTTTCACTGGCGTCTGAAGACGAACATGACGCTGTTCAGATCATCTGTGCAGCGGCGCGTTCGTCTCCACAGTCAATATGCAACCCTGGTAGTTCTCGTGAAAATGCAGAGTATCAGGACAGGTATCTGAACATCCCTAATACAAAGGACACACCTCTGTGCACCTCTAGTTACACAACGCATAAAAAATGACTATACAAAACATGATTGCTTGAACCCACAAGTTGTTTGTTTCACTATTACTTTCCCTTTGTACTAACTTTTATGAATAAATACAATCCTTTACAGGTTGGATAAAAGCATTAGGGTAGTATCACACTTTTGTTGCTTACATATTGTGCCTTTTAATAGAGGATTATACATCAAACCAAAAAGAGAGACAACTGAGGAGGAAATAGAGACACCAGGATTTGATTTCAAAAGAGGGACAGTTGGGAGCTATGGCTCAGAGAAGTTGAGTTTCTAGTGGACAATCTGCCTGCACCATTATATATTGTTTTAGCTCACAATAGAATGCCTTTGTACAGAATATTGTTTTAGTCAGCTTTGTGAAAGTGACAGGTTCTCTTAAGTTATTATTCTCAATAGAAATAACTCATTGTTATTCTAATAGCTAGGTAATAAATAGGTCCTTCAGACCTTTAGACATTAATAGTTTCATTGCTTTGAACAGACAGCATCCCTGCCAAATTAGGGGGATCTCTGTTGAATAATTCAGTGTTTTTGCCATGATTAATTCTCTGGGCATCTGACGACGTTCCCTTTGGGCATGTTCATGGATACTGTTGCAGCGACAATGACAGTCCTCGGAGACTCACACCCTCACCTTGTGGTTTTATGTTTATGTTTTCCTGCAGATACCCTCCTGGATGACTTCCTCCTCACGTACACGGTCTTCATGACAACAGACGACTTGTGCCAAGCGCTCCTCAGACAATATCCTTAATTAACTGGAACAGTCATGCCCCTGATTCCAGAGAATGAAAAGCAGATGCCTACCATTAAAAGCAAATGACATCTGGTAAATGGCTGCAAGAGATGCACAACTGACACATTTCTCTATGATGTGGTCGAACCAGATTGAAATAGTCTTGCACAGTAGATTGTTGATGAAAAGGTGTTGAGGTTGCAGGGTTGTATCATTTATCTCCGGGTTCTCATCTGTGCATATATGAGCTAACAGGACATGGTCCTAACATCTAAGGTCTTGCACAGTTGTACATGCTCTGTACAGAAAATGCTTACTTAGTCCGATTTCACCGCACACTGTGAGCTTCTCACAGTGTGTATTAGAAGCTGCAGCAAGTCTGATAAAGTCCACCTCATTTCCTGGCTGAAGAACATCCAGTAACATCTAGGTCTTTCCTCCCCAGCCTTACTGTCCCTGGCCCGCTCTTTTCCTTAATTGAATTACAGTTCTTTCAGTCATGTAGGTCCAGCATCACATGTGGGTTTCCCCAAGGTGGTCTGCCTATGACCTCCTACTCCTTCCGCCTGACATCCACTCATCAAGGCATTTAGATATTTGTATAACTCCTTTCAAGAACCAGCCCACTGCTTGCATTAGGGCTTAGGCCTATTAAGAGGAGTACTGAGACAAGATGCTTCAATGTTTCAGGAAACACCCTGCTAGCTGATAATATCACTGGGTCTAGAATAAGGTATATCATGAAAGCAGGTTTTATTTAAACGTTTAATTAGTATATTTATGAGGGGGAAAAATGAGAAACCTGGAAAGGCAAACCTCGGCTTTAAGGGATTTGCTTCAGAGAAAGCACTCATGAACCATTATTAGTCTGTATGTTCTTACTAGTCACTTCCCTACAACATCACTTTATCAGATTTAGCCTATACCAAACCCAGATTTCATCTATACCAAATGGGAAAAAAAACAAAAAACTTTTTAATGATAGCATGTCATTGGAGTGATGTACTAAATACTAATAGCTTCTGTAATCAGCGATTATTTGCATTTCAACAATCATTATAAAGATTTGTGCCACAAACCAGAGCCTGTAGGTGACACATCTGGCAGCTACACAAAACATTGTCATCTCCATATGGTTTGATCATTGCAGTATTGTTTCATTAATTAGCTGTTAGTATGTGAAAAGCAAAACACAAGTCATATCCAATGGTCTGTTCTGAGTTCATTGTAAATACTGTGAAAAGCGCGTGATCACTGCTGGATTTGCCCATGTATACCCAAAACTTTTTTTTATCAGTTTTGGGTAGAGTAGGGAAGGGTTAAAACTAGAGGTGCACCGAGATGGAATTTTCAAACCAAAAATTAAAAAAAAAATGTTTATAACCTTTTTAAAATATTTATTTTTAATTTTCAATATTTTTTTGTTTTTACTTTACTGTTGGGAGCTCTGAGGAATATCAGTGTTCTAAACAGACCCCTAATATTTCCCTTTTGAAATAGAAAGAGAGATTGAGGACACAATCTCTTTTTCTGCAGCCCCTGTTATGAATGAACAGGAAGCCTCTATAATAACAGGATTATTCACAAAAGGGTGAAGTGAACAATCTAGGACAACATAGCTGATTTGGAAAAATCCTCCAATTCAGCTCACTTTCCAGTTCAGCTATTGTGGCCTAAATTTTTCACTTCTCCTGCCTTCTCCAAACTCTTCACCTTTTTGTGAAAAACCCTGTGAGTGTCCTTGTTCATTCATAAACTGTAGATATAGTATGAGCTACTATGTCCACAATCATGAATGAACAGGAAGTGATGTAGAACACTTCCTGTTCCTTCATTTTTGGGGACACAGTAAACATACTATGTCCTCAATTATTAACAAACACTCAGCGATCAGCTGATCGCTGAGTGCTTGTAAGCGCTTTCCATCCTGTCTCGCTTTCACAGGAATTTGAGCTGGCGGGAGGAGAGCTCAGCCTTCTGTAACAGTGCTGACTGCTGGGTTTGTTGTTCTTTTGAAAGATATGGGTAAAGGTCCCTTTTAAATGCCTCCAGTGAATCAGAACCAGCAAAAAAAAAAAAAAAATTCACATGGATTCTAACCTTTCACCCACTCTACCCAAAACTAACAAATGCTTGGCTACACATACACTTTAACTGCATAGGTAATTGCTATGGTAAATCCAGGTTAACTGTGTTTACTCACACATAATTATTTCTTTCCCAGTACTGTATAAGGTATTGCCTGAAATACTTCAAGAAGCATATATATTTTAGTACTGTCCCTTTTATTCTTCATAAAGAACAATTATCCCTATGGTGAAGCATGTACACTCTAAGGCCAGGAGCTATTAGACATATGGATGTGGGCACATTATAATTCTTGTTACCTTTTATGAATATTTTAGTGTCCCTTGTTTTAACAACTGCTGTCTGGTCCCCAGGGGCCAATTTCATACCCTAATCCCAAAATAGTTGCCCCTTTATCCCATTTTACAGAGGTAACATGATGCTGTGCCTAGAGAGAAGATTCTGTTTAGCAAATGTTTATATTGACCAGTGCAAGTAATGAGGAGAGGATATGTAATCCTGGTTCACATAGTGTAATAGAGTCCAGAGTAGGATGGCTATGCCCCTGCACATCTTTTATTCCAATAGGTAATGCAATTGATATCTGCTGAATAATAATTACTTTGTAATGGATTTCTTCCATGATGCTTGCACATCGTGGGCCCCAATTGCAAAAGTAGGTAAGGACAAACAATGTTTAGAGTCTTAGGGGTGTATTTATAAATGTTCCAGGAGCTGCTTACACTGTAAAAGTTTCATTTTTAGATTCACATTGCATTATGGCCACTAGATGGAACCATAGAGAATAGGTAATTCTTGTACTCCTTGGCTCTATCTAGTGGCAATAATGTGGTGCGGATCTAACATTTACAGAGCAAACAGCTTTCCGAGCGCTTTATAAATACGCCCCTAAGTGTGTTAGTATGTGCAAGCTAAAGCTGATGTGTACTGACTGTCCTGTTATTGTTCTGTGGACTTAAGTTACATTTCAAAAATGGTTTCAGTGATAATACATGCGTGAGACACTTCCCTCACGTCGGATTTGAGGTGTGAAGAGTGTTTTATTCCATGCGTCTGAGGGAACATACCTTGATCATAGTGATCATAGTATGCAGCCAAGAGGATGGCTTACAATAGACGGCACGCATATAACACCACACATTTCCCTTGATGACAGACCGCTGATTAATTGTCTTCCTTTTTCTGCTTCAGGAGATTTAATGCATTCCAGCTTTTCACCCACATGGCATGTTCATGTACTGACTTCTGAGAGGTAGAGCGCTCCGGGCCACAGTACATAGCTAATCCAGCAAATGGCATATTACAAGATCAAACGCTACATTGCAAACAGCCCTCAAAAATCGTGTTACCTGAAGACAGTTAAATATCAGCAATTAAAACTAGTCTGTTCCAGCACTGTCATGTTTCAGGACAGCCTAGTAGCATACCTTGACATGAGATCAATCATTTCTTTGGAAATGAAGGATCATTCAAAGTGTTCTATGCAAGGGAAAAAAACAACCACAATATGTAATTTTGGTGGCTTGCTGCTTCCTAAACTTCACCTGCTGCCTAGCACTGTCCTCCAAGTACCTATGGTATGAATGGTAAACACATGTTGCCTGTACTTCTGCCATGTTTTTCGTGTATTACATTAAACCCCAGATAACCCAAAGCTGGCCAAACATGTTACAATTGGATTCTGCAATCTACTACATTTATTTAATTGTACAGAAAAATGTGGAGAGACATATCAAACCCATTATTAGATGAGATTGTATGAATAAATGACTGGACAGAGGAGAATGTTTTATTAGATAGAACAGAAATTACTTTTATTGTGTACTCAGATATTTATATATAATTGGTATGTGTCCTCATGTTACAGTACTTCAGTTATTTAATATAAATGTAATTCTTAATTGGAACACATCGTTCGTAGGTCTTCATAGGGTCACAGAGGACACCAGTGTGTACAATACAAATGTCATGTAGAAAATATAGTGAAAAAATATGCTTATATATAGATCTTTTTCACTATTATATATATTCCGAGGTAGAAGTAATTTGCAGACTAGCACAGGGTTGCCTAATTCTGGGTATCAAACCTCTCTGCAGTCATAGAATAGATGGATGATGCACACCAGCAGATAGGAGTCTATTAATTAGCTCTGTATTTGCAGCCTGGAATTCTCCTATCTCCACAATTGCTTGCTCTTTCAAAAGCCAAAATGTTTTCTTGTTGTGCCTTGACCTGAAATTACCTATTGTGCCAAGAAATACGACGGCAAAGCAGACAGCCCAGAGGCCCTGTGCACAAAGAGAAAGGTCTTGCTTCTTGCATCCCAGTGGACGGCTCTGTACAAAGACTGGTTACATGATGATGAGCATTCCAAGCTATTCCTGAAGGTAAGTGAAGAAGCCTGTCAGCCCATGGGATAATGTGCTTGTGTCTCCTATGATAACTCATCACTCTGCAATGGATACAGTGCTATGGTTTGTTTCTTAGCTTGTCATGCATCTCGCTGGTAGCAGCTATTGTGTGGGCTGTAATGCTGGAAAGAGAGCGTGCTGCCTACTATGGTGGCTACTGGGGCATGATTAACACAGCCACGCCACTAGTTTTTTTAAGGGAAAATAACAAGCACATAGCAAATTCTGTTTTACAGATAGAATAACATATGTCTTATGGGTTTGTCAGTTCCCTGACTCCCTTCATATTATAATGCTGAATTTAGTAGGTGTCACCATTTAAAATAATTATCTCCAGTGTCTAGGTACAGTCGAGAACTCCCCGCAGAGTCCTGCTATTGTGCTAGAAGCACTGATTTTACACTGCACATTCCTCTTCAACTGTAGACATGAATGCAAAATGTAAATGGGCTTTTTACATTTTGCATTCATGTCTGCAGTTTTTTGTATCAAATAGGTTTTTATTAAGATTTTACAGAGGTACAAAAAGGGTATACATAGGTGCTGTCAACCCACAAACGGGTTCATGTGTTGTATCATATAAACAATGCTTTGAAATCTTGGATCCTGATATGGAAGGATCTGGACGGAAAGTAAGAAATATAGGATAAAGGAAGAAAGAAGGGGGTTAGGAAGTAAGTGCCATCGGTATTCTTTTCCGGCCAAGGTGTTCCAGGAATATCATTCGTGTCACCTTTGGGTTTCCTGGGCAAGTCGTGGTTTGTCACCAAGGTAATCTGAGATAGTAGTGTACCCAGGTATCGTTAACGAGTAGTGTATCAGCTCAGTGAGTGCGTAATTTCGTTAGCTGGCACCCTGGTGTCGTTGTCGGAATGGTTCATGTCTGCAGTTGAAGAGGAATGTTGCTTGAAAGTGTTCTACAGTACAGTGTTGAGAGGATCACTTTAATTAATTGGTAAATTGAATTGAGCCATGAGGAGACACTGTGAAATTTAGGGTACTTAAAGGGTATGGGAGACAAGCACAGAGAATTCTGAGCTCTCTTATGACTTCAGCTGTTCAACAATTTTCCACCCAGATTTTTTAATTTTTCAATCAAGGTTTGTTGGTGCCAGCAAGGTCATCCACAGTTAGAATCTCAGCAGATTCACAGGATTCAGATGAAATTCTGTCAGGTATAGCCATCTTTCCGTGGGGTGAAGTGATGAAAAGGCATTTGCTTTGGAAACTTATTGATGAAGGGGACTTCCTCTTAGTCAAAGAAAAATAACAGCGCCTTTAAGCTGTTAACATCATGTATTGTAAACATGCCCAGTATCTATTTACAGTGGTGCAGCCATTTTTTTTAAAAACAAAAATAATAACCCCTAGCCACCAATCAGGACAATGCATAACTCCTAGCCAACAATCAGGACAAAGCAAAACCCCTAGCCACCAATCAGGAAAATGTATATCCCCTAGCCACCAATCAGAAACTATTTTTACTGATCTTATGAGAGTGAAAATATGGTTGGCTTCGTTTAGTGCAATGCCCATTATCTGCCTTATTGAAATAGCCTATTTGAGTTGATTCTTTTAAAATTGTGAACATTGCTCAGATATGAGATACAAAGTATATGCATGATGGTTATATAGATGGTTATAGCTTTGGCTACATGCATTGAGTGTATGTGGTTGAAACACACTTACAAACAAAATTATAATTTTTTTACTGATCTGTTCCTAAAATTGTACAGTCAGCAGGGAAGACTTTAGAGTTGACGAAAAGCAGTTACAGGCCATGAAGATGTAAAGCTTCAGCATGTCTCATTAAAGCAGCTGAAATTCCAGTTGTGATATGACCATATTTGGCTTTGTACGGCTCTAATCCTCTACGATCTATGGATTTAGACGAGCACGCCATTTACTGTAACATACACTTTGTTATTATAACTTGTATTCATAAAGCAATAGCACTCCCAGTTAATGTACTTCATGTGCTCTGTTCTGTGGAACAGTTCTAGTTCTTATCATGAAGTTATAATCACTGCTCAAATAACAAGAATCTCTATTAAAACAAAAGTTATTGTGAGATTTTGTCATATATTTCATCCTTGTCACTGCAAGAGGAGCTGAAGTGGATTGCTTGCAAGTATTGGGAGAATTGCGTGCAGATATCACATGGTGTTTGTTGTAGGGATCTGAGACTGGGAATGCCTAGACTGCTGTTTCATCACTGCATTCTGGTATTTGATATTACGTGGGCCCTGCTGATGAGGAATGCAGACTATTATAAATGAGGCATGGCGGTTCTCTTATTTTTCAGACCCTCTATCGCTATGTGTTGGATGATGTCTATGAGTATCCAATGCTAGAAAAAGAATTAAAGGAATTCCAGAAAGTGTTGCGGATCCATCGACGTCAGTAAGTGAAATTATAATACATTTTATGTAGAATCTAAAATTATTTTACAGAACAGCTAAAAAAATGAAATGTCATCAATGCAAGGTGACGAGTTCACATAATACAGATCAGGCTTTGGACACACATTTTGAACCTTAGAGCTGCTGACTGTCCCTTGTAACAGAATTGTCCCTTATTCTAGTTAAAAACCTGCTGACCTTGTCCACCATTTACCTCAACCTGCTGTCTCCACATGATTAAAAACAGAAGCCATGGAGTCAGTTCAGGAATCCAGTTCAAGTTTGTTTTATGTGTCTTTTCTATTGTACTAAACAATTATGGTTGCAGTCGTAGCAGTCTTGGTGATCGTAAATGGGCCACATCTATATACATTGCAGTTGACTTACTAAAAGAGTAGAAACTTTTCTCAACACATTCACCTTATTTACCAAAATTCAGTAAGCTAAGTGAACAGTCTTAACTGCCTTAAAGCATAACTCCGACCCTTGCAGTGGGCCTACCCCCGTACTGCAAGGGTTAATTGCTTGTTTTGGTCTAGGGAGGAATATAACAAAAGTTTTACTCATCTGATTCTCCGAGCCATTCGGCTGTGACAGCATTCCCTCCTGCCAGTCTCCTCCTCTGGCCCCGCGACCACTTGGGGGCCTTAGAAGGACTGGTCTTCGCAAGCCGGCTCCGAGGATCGGTTGAGTATAACTTTATTTTCCTCCCCACACCAAAACGAGCAGTTAACCCTTGTGATGTGGGGGGTAGCCCCACTGCAAGGGTCAATTAAATTTTGCACCCCAACTGCCCAACGAAATGTGGCTGGGAAACTCATTGTAATCAGTTTTGTGCGGTCACTGTTTCACAGAAGTTTATAAACTAAAGAAAGCACCTGATTGGTTGCCATGTACAACACGGATACTTCTTTTCTAGATGTTTGGATTATTATCATTATACAGGATTTTTTATAGCGCCAACAGTTTGCACAGCGCTTTACAATATAAGGAAGACATTACAATCACAATACAATTCAAGACCAGATGGTAAGAAGGGCCCTGCCCATGATGTATTGTGATAGCAAAACACAGGGGTTTACAAAAACATAGACAAAGAAAACCAGTGTGGAAGTGCAGCAGTTGCCCAGACCAAGCAACTAGTGTTCTTGTTTTATCCAGAAGATGAAATCTGATTGGTTTCTCTGGGCATCTGATCTACTCTTTGCTGCAGTATCATTTGTCCTAGTAATAAGCTGGCCATGCACTATTAGTTTGTTTTTTTTTTGTTCTGACAAATTCCTCCTTCCATGCTATGAATTGACAAATTTCCTCCTGCGGCTTTTATATTCTGACAACTGGCATCTGCCGCTGTCAGGATACAGGAACAGTGATTGAAGCTGATTGGCTGGGGTCACTATTTCTGACTAACAAAAGGGCTGTTTCTTGTTATACACACAGAAAGTGCATATTTGTGCAAGAGTGGGTCGATATTGCTAGCATTCAATGAGAACATGCTCATAGGAACGAAATATCCCGGGGCTTATTGCTAATTTTAGAATTGTTTATACACAGGGATATGTAATGGAACAGCGATTGTTCAGAATGGTATGTGCAGCACTGTACTTGTAGTTTATTGCTCAAGGAACAGATATTGATTTTTTTTCTTCCTTTGTTTGCAGTACTGTGGATGAATACTCACCCCATCGAAAGGTATTGTATCAGATATTTGATTTTTCACCTTTTATCTCTGAAATGCTGTGCTGTTTGGCAGTTTTATAGTGTATATGTGCTGCTTCTATTGTTCAGCCAGTGTTATTTCCATGAACAGACAACAATATGAACCTGCGATATCCATCTTCCTTTGATTTAGATTGTACAGCATTTGGATCAGCCCTTTATTACATATCCCGAGTTGTAGATTTTGTAAGGTATAAATAGCTGTTTGCAAGAAAAGGCAATAGAAGGTATTTGAGGAAACCTGCTGCAGTTTACTGCCTCTGAGATTAACCTCACAATCTGCCAAGGAAGCTTAGTACATGGACAGAAGAGTGCTGCAGAGATGGAGGCTCAGTTAATGACTGGCTAAACAATCTAAGTGAAGGAGCAGCAATGGCTTGAATTAGCTAAGATTCATGTGTACAGTGTTCCTGGTCATGCAAGGATTTCACTGTGACCTTTACTGTAGGGGGAAAAGCAGGAAGTGCCATGTATGGGTGCAGAATCTAATTTGTGGAGTGGTTAAACGGATTGACTCTGGCCACACTGATACATCAGGATCATTCCTTTAAGTGATTAAGGTGTCCTTTGTTATATTCTTAGGATATCCATCTACAGCCAAAATCAAATCCCACAGTGATCTTAAAATATTCTGATGACTAAGAATTAAATACTTAAGGAGTTTCTGGGTAATACTGTTTCTAATCACTTGCACCATGATTGGTTCTTTTTGCATTACAAATTAATGGTGGATAAAAAAAAACCACAATATCAATACCATGATTTACTTCCTGTTTTTAATACCTGCCTTAAGCTGATCATACAACCTGACAGAACCAACTCCTTTAGATCTAAAATCTGAACACAAACTGAACAGAACGTTTAGGGAGGTCCTTCCATTCCACAGTTTTGGTACATCTGAGGGAGATTGTATGGGGATTGTTTGGCTTTTTACTTCAGCTGAGTACGTCGGCCGTCTTTGGCTCCCTTTGGTTCAGCCAAACATGCTCATCATGTTCGACTGAGCCACAGTGAAGAACATAATCGGCGGAGCTGAACTTTTGGCAGTTCACTGCTGTTCACCCCTATTCTCATAAAGGCCAAACAGCAGTGAAAAGCCGAATGCTGCCGAGCGCATTCGGCTCAGTTATAATGTTCGCTACCTCGGAGGTAAATAAATAAAAAGATAAAATAAAGAGATTAAAAAACGCATATGCTTTGGCTCAGCTGAGCTCTTCGGCTGCTGTATGGGCTATTGTGAATAGCCCGTACAGCAGCCCTTCGGTTTGGCTGAACCGAAGGGCTCCAGCGGCCGAATAGTGAATAACCCCTGTAGTCTTAGGTATTCATTGTCTTACAACCTAGAGTGGTGCAGTTTTGCACACCTTTTGGTAGCTGTTACTTTTGTGAATTAGAACAAATGGATTATGATTGTCTACAGTGTGAGGAAAGACACAGTGGGGTTAGTTTAATAAAGAAAGGGAGCCTGCCACCTTGCGAGGTCAGTAAGTTTTTAGGGAAGCTGTGTTCACAAAGAACATCGTGTTAGCAAAGCATTTTTTTATTTTCCGTGAACACAAATGGGTATTCAAAGTGAACAAAGGTTCACCATATTTACTTACAGCCTCCAAATCCTTAGTAAATCAACCCCACTGCCATCCATAAGGAATTCTTACTTTCCTTATATTTACAATGCTTTTGTGTGATTCAGTGTGATGGAATAAATGTATATGATATGCAGATTCGTGAAGAATCATTAAGATATTCTACCTGCCCACTTCTTTCAGAAAGAAATACACTAAACTCATCATTAATCGTTATGGCTCATATTGTGCAGAATCTTATACTGTTCTCTCTTGCCTGATACTTATCGCTTTTTGTAAACGAGGGATAGAAGTAGTGCAGCGATTCACGTACTATACAGGCACTGGTCCCATTTCCTCTTCTGCTCTCCTGGGAACTTTGTAATATCTCAGTGATTTAATTGTTCCCTATCTTATGCCCACAGAACAGAGCCCTCTTCCACCAATTCAGTCTGAAGGAGAACTGGCTGCAGCACAGAGGAAATGTTAATGAAATAGAGGAAAGTAAGTATGGCTTGCATCAGGGTGGAGTTGAAGAAACGTCAGTGGACCTGATACATATTATAAATGTTAAATTACTTAACATTGCATCAGAAAAACGGATATGAATACTGTATGATGTCATTCCAACTGTTCACTAATCTATAAAAACTTTACATTGCAGTTTTTATTACGGGTTTTTTTTTTAGCGAAATGATTAGCATTTCTTCAATGAAGGATAAAAATGGTTAAAGACAGAATATGAAACTACAATTACCTACATAAACCAGGGACATTTGTAGCCAATATTAGTGGGAAGTCAGCGTCTCTGTAATTACCATATCTAGATTGTGGATGTCACTATCAAATTAATTAAAGCAACCCCAGTGTGCAAAATAATTTTTAAAAGTACTGTTACCTATAAAATAAAACATTCACCTTGCCCAGGGCACATTGCTGCCAAAAAATTCTCTGCTCGTGAGTTTTTGTCCTCCAAAGTCTGCCAGAAAACCAGCTCACCCAGGAGTATTGATCTTCTGGGTCCCCACAACTCTCACATGTTCCTATCTTTAACCTCATGTCACTGTGGATTATACTAGTGATGTGCGCTCAGAGGGAGGAACCAGTGTGACCTATGGGGAGAGGTAAGCATTTCTTTTTCAAAAGGTATCAAAGCTTTTAATAATTATTTTTCAGGACAGGGTTGCTTTAAATAAGGCAAAGGGCAACCAATAAGATGTCAGGTCATCTTTCTATAACCATCAAAGCAAAGATGATTTGTTACTATGGTTTATTATTATTTATAGATTAGGTTTATATGCAGGTTCGATTTTGTATAAGGGATCAACTGTGTTTATTTATTTTTTTTACTTTTGATTACGTCTTCTTATATTTTAACATATTTATATTACAAAGCAAAATTAACCTTCTGGAAGTAATTTAGTAGGCTGTCCTTTATAGTCTAAGGGGTCTATTCACGAAGCTGCTGAAGGATCTGGCCGTAGCTTCGGCCGATCGTTCGGCTAGCTTCGGCTCCAGGACCCCTTCGGTGATCTTACGGCTGGCTCCGGCCACTTGCAGTGAGATCAGCGTCCCTGATTACCTGCTAACCAGGGACACTGATCTCCAAACAGCAAACTCTCCCTGGCGCCCCGGGAGTCTCCTGCTCCCGGCCGCCAAGGAGAGAAACACTGCTGTGTCCTTTTTTCTTTATTCCGACACGATCGATGTCAGAATAGAGAAAAAAAAAAAAAAGCATGCTGAGCATGTTCGGCCGACCTGAAGCCACACGAAGCAAGCCGATGTACGGCTGATTTCAGCCGATGTACGGCTGAAATTAGCCGTACCAGCCTGAAGTGAATAGCCGAACAGTGTTCGGCTCACTTCACTTCAGATCGGTCATTCACTCGGCTGCCCTCGGCAGCTTCGTGAATAGACCCCTAAGGCTCATCATGACTCAATTTATCCCTGGAATTTTTGAATAGTTTAGTGTGGAAAAATGGTGGAACATGCAACAGATTCCTGTATGTGTCGGTGAGGTGCAAATAAATCTGCCACAACTGTGAGAGAACTGTTGCAGGCATATCTCCTGCTAAGTGATTTACATTTACAGGTAGAAAAGCTATGTTTTGGAGACGTTAAGAGAGTATTGGAAACGTATTCAGTTTCACAGGAACTTAAAGACACATTTCTAATTTGCAACACGATGATCACACATGCAACACAATCGATCATTTTCTCCAATATAGAAGAGATCTTATTAACCTCCACTTTCCTTATCACCGATATGGCCCTATTTCTTTATGAATTTGTCAACAAAATCGCTATACAGTAAAAGTCGCAATTAACAACTATTTGAATTTGTTGCACACGTCGCTACTAACTATTAAAATGTCCCATGATTTTCATCAATTTGGCGCAAGGCTACCAACTACATACATGCCGCCAGAAATGTGTTGCAAATGCCTTATTGAATCACCCCCAGAATTGGTTGTTACTCGTAAACAGAAAATATTATACAGTAATTGTTGTCCCATCTATAATTGCAGACCCCTGCAATGATATATTGTATTATTATTATTATTATAATACAGGATTTATATAGCGCCAACAGTTTGCGCAGCGCTTTACAAAACTGAAGGAGAAAATACAGTTAACAATACAATTTTAATACAGGAAGGTAGGAGGGCCCTGCTCATGAGAGCTTTCAATTTAGTAGCTGATTATCCTGACAATTCATTACCAGCATGAGTTAATCTGGGGCTTTCCTTTGCAGGACATTCCTCATGCCACATTAGCCACAATTCAGACAATATATACCAATATTATCATGTTCAGGTCTTATTGGAACGTGTTCTTTGTTTCTAAATAAAGATGACTATAGATATTAGTGTCTGGACTTCTAAAAACAGTCTAGCGCCCAAGTTATATTTTGTGATATCCGCATAGACATGTTTTTATCAGCATCCCTGCTTATGTACACAGCAATCACCACTGGAATATTTACTGGGGTTCATTTATGTAAACTGAAGTAAAGGAAGAGTAAAGCTGTTGCTTACCACAGCCAATCAAATGCCTTCATTTTCAATATACACTAGAATCCAGATGATATGGGCAACATACTTCTCTTTGGCCTAGTTTTTTTTTTTTTTTAAAGGAGAACAATGACATGAGTGATTTCCACTCACGTCATAGTCCTAAGCCGACCTGTGACAATGAGACTGTCACAGGTCGGCTCAGTAGATCGGGAGGTGAGGGAAAACATACCGGGTTCCCTCACCTCTCGATCCTGTCACGGCTCTCTGCCGTGACAGAGGGAGGGGCTGGATTCCCCTCTCCCCGCTCTGCCAGCGATGACTGGCGGAACGGACGGGGGAGGGGGCGGGTACAGCTGGCTCTGCCTCTAGATAGGCAGAGCCAGCTGTCACTCACGCAGCTGGGGGGATCCCGTCATCTAAGTCGGGATCCGCTCCAGGTGCGGCGTCTCAGTATACCGCAGGCTGTAGCTCGCGGTATACTGAGCCTAGGGTGATGGGAGGACGCTAGTTTGTGTCCTCCCGTTACCCCAAGGAGAACTATGGGGAAAAACACTGACCCCATAGTTCTCCTTTAAGTCTAAATGTTACTGTAAACAAATCTGCATTTTTATTCTTGTCTCCTGTAAGCATTTAGCAGAAGAGCAAGCTCTTCCACAGAATGCATTTTGATGCACTTGAGTACATAAAGCCAAACAGTTCCCCCTGCACATCTGCAGAGGCACATCATTTCACACGCCACTGACTCTGTTGATAAAATAAAGGTTGGAGGAAGCACCGCAGGAACATAAATTGTGTCAGAAAAATCTGCTTACAGCAATACACTTTGAGGGCAATCATATAGTACAGTATTCTGGCTTATGGTAGCCCAAGGCAGTATATGCAGCCTGGGTCACACTTTTAAAATTATTTAGCATAAAGGAAGAAGTTTTTTATATTTTACATAATTTTTTAGGCCTAATGGATTTATGAAAAATCAGGGTCTACAGGCAATTTTATGGAGGATAGATACCTAGAGTCTTACCAAGAAGACACTGATAAATTAGACACTGATAAAACGGTGCATTAATAGTCTAATATGTACAAGTTACTAGTGTAATATTTTTTATTTACTTTGCACACAAGTGACAGCTCAGATTACCAATGACAATGCATTTTTTGATGGATAGATAGTTAAAATTCCCCCCGTTTCCTGAGGTTTGACAGTAACTTGATTGAACAGAGTTGATCTTTGAAAGTTGGGGCAGCAAATATGGAGATGTTGCCAATAGCAGCCAGTCCAAGCTAGGAAGGGTACAGTTTGAATCAAGGTGTTGTAGACTGCAGCTATAATTTTTTCACCATCATAACCCTGTTAGACATATGATATCAGTATTAATGGTGAGTAAACATAAAAATAGAGAGGCCTTATTAAAAGAATAAATAAATCTGCTGCAGTTTAAAGTGGACTTCCATCCAAGACTTTCTTTTTTGGAAAGAGTAGGGAAGGCTTTCTGTTCCCATTGGGATGATATCCCTTCACTTCCTGTGCAGGTGACCACTGACAGCAATAAAAACCTAGGTCCCCCCTCTATCCAAAACACTAAAAAAGTTCTGGCTACCACTTTAAGGCAAGAGTACTCACTACTGTATGTGGAAATTTTCTAGAAACGCATGCTTTATGAAAAGTGGCCAGTTTCTGAGATAGGTCAAAAATATACAATTAAAATCATTTTCCAACTTATAGCATCGGTAAAAGTATGGAACTACATGTTATTAATGATATGCACTTCAGAAGAAAGAAGCATGAAACATAGGTACAAACCCTCATTCAAAGAAATTGCTCACTTTTCAGGCTGAATATTTCATAAATGTCCCCTGGCGGTGTTCAGTTACTGTTCAGTATGAATGCTCCACATCAGCTTAAATGTGTTTTGTGAGCTATTTCCTGTTGTGCGGTTTTGCACATTCATAGATCAAATTGG